CGGTTCCGGTTTGTGCCTAAAACCGAACCGAACGAACCGTTCTCACCCCTAGTAATATGAAAAAAAAAATAGAATTAACACCTTGCTCTTTGAATCATTTTTCCTTGGACTCTTGTTTCAAAAAAGTTTCAGTTCTAGCAAGCCACATATCAAGCTCATGTTGAAGGTTTCTTTCGGTCTCAGCAGCATGGTCAGTTTGATCAATAGCTTGAATAGCCTTGATTTAATTAGAAAGGTTTTTAGAGATGACATGGCAATTTCCAAATTAGGAATGGTTCCAAACTTTGAGGGCTGATCTAACATTCTTAATTTTGAATTAAATTGGAAACGATGAGAACCATGGGTTGATATATCCCATGCATCATTGGCAGTGTCAAAACAAGAATTGTCGTCAAGACATATAACTTCAAACTGGAAAGGTTTGGGATCAAAAGAAGGGTCAGAGTCCGTCTAAAGAAGAATGGGGCAGTGGTACGAAGCAATGGCATGAATGTGGGAGATAGAAGAGTGGAGGAAATCAAGGCACCACAAAGTATTGTCTGACAACTCCTCTATCTAATCTCTGTTGGATATTGTTCACATTTTTTCTTTTGTTACTCGAAGTGAAGGTATTAACTAAAAAGCTAAGGTCAATCAAGCCAAGAGAATCAAGGTCAGAAAGGAGGGTGTGGGAGGAAGATGAACAAAAGAGGCTCCACCTTTTTATTAATTTTGGGAGGTAATGGAGTTGAAGTCTCACATAACAAGCCAAATACCACAAATAATTTATGGAAAAGAATTGAGTTGATTCCAAAAAATGGAATCACTATAAGATGTGCAAGCGTGGGTAGTAAATCCTAATAAAGTGCCAAGAAGGGGATGAAAGAGTGAGAGAATAAGAGCATAAATGAGAAAGTTGTTTTGAATGAGAATATTAACCATAAGATTTGAGGTCCAAGCCAAAGACAAGCCACCAGCAAAGACTATAGGGGGAACAATAGCAAAATTAGGAAGATCAGCAAAAGTGTGAGCTTTTAGAAAATATAGCAGCAAATGAAGGTGTCTTGATTTAAAAAATAAAGAGAATATCAGGCTTGGAGGAGAGAAGGAGAAGCCTAGCAGGAATTGCCTTGAGTTTGGCTAACCTTGGCAATTCCAAGCGAGGATCTTCATGGGACTACTTATCTGACCCCATAGGGTCAGCAGAATAAAGGGGGGAGAGGATCTCCAAGGAGGATTGATCTTGAGACAAATCAGTGATAATAGCTTTGTTGGTGTTTGACCCGTGAGTTGGTGAGGTACAATCAGACAATCTACTAATGTGGAGTACTTTCTTGTCACTAGAACTAGTATGATGAGGGATTACAAAAACTTCAAACTTTGCATGCATTGACCCTGGTCCATTATGGAGGAAAAAATTTTGCTTGGAAGCAAGGTTTATTGAGTTTGAGAGGGATATATCCATTGAGGGGTGAGAAATATCCCATGGGTAGGAGTCATCATCATTGGTTGAAGTGAGCATATAAGCCTCAGTTGGATGAGTGGGGTTTTCAAAAAAAAAATTGGGGAGACTACTTACATCATTTAAATTGGAATTTAGGTTTAGGGTTTGGATATTAGGTCATTCCAATTTGATTTCAGTCCAGCTCCTCGTGGGCGAGCAAGAGTAACATAGCCAATGACATGTTTGGTAGTGTCAAGAAAGATGTTGACTCGAAAAGATCTTTTCCATATATGGATGGTTGAGTGAGGGCCTGTCACCGATTTTTCAGCAGATTGAGGATTGCTAAGGCAAGCAGAGAGGTTGAAAATTTGGAGCCCATTAGGGATTTTTGTAAGGTCGATTTTAGAGATCGATTTGTCAGGAGGCCATAGCCTTAGTAGTACTTGAGCATCTCTAAAGAACCAATAGAGATTTTGGATTTTATGGACGACAATGCGGGATTCAAAAATGAATGGCATGATGTTTTGGTGAAGGTGGTTGGTGAGAGTACAACCTCCAGGGTTCCAAACTTTGAGCATTGTGGCTTTCAAGCAATTCATATTGATGTTTTTGGGTGTGTGGATTTTGACTATAAGAGTGTGTTCTTATTCAAAATGAGCATTTATGGTGTCGGTTGTTTTAGAGCATTGGCGCTCGTCGGTTTGGGCTATGAGCTCATTAATGGGGGTGGTGATTGCATCGTATATGAAAGTGAGGGGAACAAAAGCATAAACAAGAGCAATAAATTACAGGAGAGGAAGAAGGAGAACAAGGATGAAGATCTGAGATAACTGAGTACTTGTTGGGTATACCGAGTGTGGGTTGTACACTCAATTTATACCATTTTACGAGAATTTTTGTGGAATTTTGTCGATATAATGGCGCTTAATGACTTGGTTCTTGTATTGTAGGTACAAATTGATGATTCAGACGTTTTGATGATGAAACGGTCAAAAACCGGTCAAAGTCAACCAAGAATGTAAGAAAACAATTATGAGACCGAACATGACCTAAGACGACCGTCCCAGTATCAGTACTGATTCTTAGACGATCGTCTCAAATGTAGAAATCTAACAGAAGCGCGCGACGACCATCCTAGAAATGTACTGATATGAGATAATCGTCCGAAGGCACGCGGAGGCACAATTTGGGAGTTTTGATTGCATAAAGAAACCCCGATATTTTACAAAGTCTGGACATCTATATAAAGTAATGAGTTGAAACAAAACTTTATTAACCAATTGTTGAGTGTAGATTTTGCACTCAATACGTTTATTTTACGTGGATATTTTGTTTATATTTAATTATATTTGTGTTTTAATTGATTGATTTTGTGTTTTATAGGTGATAAACAAGAATTACATGCCAATGAAGGAAAAATGATCAAAAAGAAAGGAAAAAGTTGCAAATAAGGAAGTAAATCAAATTGGAATAAGGAATCTCGCAACAACTTTGGCAGTGTCCACCATTTCGAGCATATCTTTCTCATACGAACTTCAAATCACCTGATTCAAGCAGCATTGCAAAGCTAACTTAAAGGGTTACAATTTGTATTTCACGCAATATTCCAAAATTCGGACTCAAACATTGGTCAAAATCAGATTCAAAACCGACCGAAATGCAGAAAAACCTTCGGCTGACCGACCCAATTTTGTACTAAAATCTGGGACGGCTGTCCCGTGATGCGAAAGCTTAGGCTACGGAAATTGAGACGGGCGTCTCGGAATGGCTAGAAAACTCATACAGCCGTTTTAGACCCCGATTCTGCGTTTTAAAACTCATACGTGTTATGTAGGATTGGTAATAATCTATAAATATGGATAAATATACTCTTAATCTATAGAAATGATTGACAAATTTAATACACATCCGGTTAATTGATTTAAATTTGGAGTGGTATTTTAGAAAGAAAAACGAAATATTATGTTTACCAAATATCAATTCAATAATAACAAATAAATGTATATTTGTATATATAGGTTTGCATGCACGTGGAAATTTAAAATTAAAATAAACTTAAAACATTACTTAATATAGCACACAACTAATCATTTAATAAGCACAACTAAATAATCATTTATTAAATAGGACAATTAAAAAATAAAATAAAAAAATATAATTTTTTTTATTGAATGGATATTCGAATATTTCAAAATATTGAAAATTCAAAGAAAAAACAATTGTATTCCTTTATTTTAATATTTTAATATTAAAAAAAATATTTCTTTCTGAAAATTATTTCAATATTCGTAAAAAAATGGAGTATCGTGAATTTTATCAATAAATGTATTTTGAAATACTGAAAATACAAATAAGATTTTTTTTTTATTTCGAATTTATAAAATATTAACTTTGGAAATAATATATATACATGTGGTAATTGTTTAAATGACTGTATAAATGTTAAATAGGAAATAACTTAAATACATACCAAAATAAAATTGACAACTCACCAATTGAAGAATCCACCTCATCAATTGAACTCCAACTAAGCAATTTTGATAAATGACATCATCATTTGCCACATGTCAATCATTGAGGGCATAGATCCTCTTTTTATATTATATATAGATATTAATGATTTCAATAAATTAAGTATTAGTAAATATATATATATATATATATATATATATATATATATATATATATATATATATATATATATATATATATATAAAATCTTGGCCATATCTCCTTAATAGTCCCTCATCTTATTATTTAGTCCCGCTTTAGTCCTTCATATCTCTATTGTTTCATTTTCATTCCTCAATGTTACGAGTCATCTCCTTACAGTCCATTTGTGTATAAATTTGTTAACTTTAACGGAATCTCTTCAAGATTGGATGGAATATTCCATTGTTAATTATTTTTGATAAATTATGTATAAATAATCAATTTTATAATTTTAAAATAATATTTACAAGTAAGAAGAGTATAATTTATAAATACAGAACTTCAAAAATTACACAACATATTAATTGATATTAATATGCAAATAATCGTTTGGATTTATTTTGTTGATATAAGTTGCATTTAGGAACGTATCAAATGATGATGATATATCATCTACATATATTCTTTATTTTAATTTACTTATATTTTTTTATGATTTTATGTTAATATTTAAAGAACTAGTTCGATTATATATGTTCTTCTATTGTTCTTATTTTATTTACTGTTTATTAAAAATAATTATAAAGATAGAATATTCCATCTATTAATTAAAAGATTTCGGTAAAGTTTACCAAGTTATACACCGAAGTACTAAATGAGATGAACTGTAGGGTTGAGGGATGAAAATGAGACAATAGAGACATGAGGGACTAAAGCTTCGGGACTAAATAATAAGATGGGGGACTATTAGTTAGATTTGACCTATATTTTTTTTGATATAGTTTATACTATATTATGCTTGTAGTTGCTGATATTATATGCAGGTGTAAAGCAAGGGTATAGTAGTCATTTAATATGAGTTATAAGCGATGGGTTTGCGAAATAATCTTCCCATTTTAAGTGTGTGGAGTGTGGACAACATGCCCATTAGTTTATGGTTTGTTTTGCAGATTTATTTTTACTCTCTGCTTGAATGGCCTTTTTGGCAAATAAATACTTGATTTTTTAAGTCATCTTAATACAAATACAATAATGTTACTTTTTTACAAATTTACTCATATGGCAGGTTTTCTTTTGTTTCTCTTGTAATTTTTGTACCCT